ATCAGCTCCACAGCATTGGGGTTTTATTACTAACTTTAACTTTTTGAAAAATAGTATTTTTTCCCTCAAGGTAGCTGTAGTTAATGGCCTAGTTCTCTCATTAGAACTGCAAAGGCTATTTCATTTACTAGTGACTGTGGTGAATACAGAATTTACTGTGAATGTTAAAGTTTTAAAAGAAACACAATTCATGAAATTGGAAAATGTACTTCCTTCTACTAATACTGATCAGTATCTTGTAACTATAACAAACATAATTTTCCCAACAGAGACAAAATCTTTGCTTAAGTTTTAAAGGACCTGCATGAGATGCAATAATGTAGAAACCATGACGTTCTCCTTTTGCTCAGGTATGGGGTGACTATCTTTGTTAAACAGTATATATAATTCTATATACATTTGGCTTTGAAGGCTTTTGTAAGTTCAAGCTATATTTATAACAGAATAATTTGATTCCATAAAATAAAAATTCTTTATAATAGAAATATATCATCTCTATATCAAGAAATACTCTATGTAACCGTGTGATCTACCCAGAAACCTGTAACAGTTGGTGCTGACTTTATGTATAGCATTTGCTAGAGGTTCCTAAACTATTCATCTGTCCCAAAGACTCAATCTAGCCCCAAGCTTTGAGTCTACATGGCTGCTTTCCATTTGCAAAACCTACTCTGTGAGAGTGACTTTAAGTGTTACCTTTAATAAGATTCAGGAAGACTTTCAGAGTAATAGATGTTTTCTGACTTAAGGAAAAATCCACTTGCTATCAACAAGTTGCAGCGAATTTGTTGGCCTTTCATTCATTTTCCTAGAGACACAGGATGTGAAGAAACACAGTAGCAGGAGGCAATCGCAGATGAGAAGAGAAAATGCCATCAGAGAAGATGAGAAAATCCATGTTCTATACTGTGTTCATCTAAAAAAAAACAAACAAAAAAACCCACACAAAAACAGAACACCAAAAAACAAAAACACCCCAAAAACTTTGGTGAGGTTTTTTTACACTGACTTTGTGAAATGCAGCAGCTTCGTATCTTTAAAATTACTTGTCCATTCAAATGACAGACTAGTAGATTAGCACTTTCAACAGCAACAAACACAGAATGAGAGAGCTTTCAGCCTGGACTATGCATTTCCCTGGGTTAATCCATGACCTTTTATACCACCTAAGCCAATGGATTATTATTATGCAGCCCGCTGGCTTAATTGTGTGCACACATCTCGGCTCTATAAAGCTTTTTGCTGTTATGCAAGTCTGGAGACAGAGCAATGTGGCAAATCTGCTCATGCAAAACAAAGATGAGGCAGATCTGGATTACAAGCCCAAGTGGGAGAGAAGGGAAATGAATTTCCCTTAAAGGTCACTCAAAGGGTATGATAATGAACGTCTTCAGGAAGAGGCTGGAGAAGTGCAGTTAAGTGTCCCTGCGCGCTCCCCCTATAGTTCCGCTCAGTCTCCAGTTGCCACGATGTTGATTCTGACTCACAGTGCTCCCAGGGTGTCAGAGTATAAGTGTGTTCCTCAGGGTTTTTTTCAGCAATAAGTCACCAGGACTTTCTTCCTAGTCTGTCTAGGTTTAGAAGCTTCACTGACAACCACTCAGTGTGAAAGCACCAGGTAGCGTCCACGGCAGATGAGCAGGGCCTGGGCATGAGGTGCAGAAGACTCATGCCTCACACGTGGAAGGCGAGAAGCCACTGCCTCTCCAGATGGAGAACAGCAGACAATTCAGAAACATTACTGTTACTAATTATTCTTCATGAGACAGGGTGGAAAGTGTAAGATGGCAGACTGGTTGTTACTTAATCCTAAAAGAAAATGTTTGTTGTACAGTAAACATTATACAATAAAACACAGAACGGATCCTTCCCCCACCTGATATTAATGGGAAGGAACAACACAAAAACAAAAATCACCCTGAGTCGCAGCTCTCTTAGACAGTTTCCATGGGAGTGCTGGGTGTTCTTGGTCCTGAGGTCAGATTGGGCCCTGGCCCTCCAGTGCTGCCCCGAGTCCAGGGCTGCCACCTCCACACTCAAATGAAACCAGGGATCTTCAGGGATCTTGGTCATTCCAAGAAAACTCTGAAGAAATAACCAACTAGCATACGCTTGAGTACGTTTTCTTCAGGGTTCATGGTTAAATGGGCTAAAAATCGGCTTTTGTGGGATGCTGTCTGGTTTAGTGAATCAGAGCACAGACTGTAGAAACACAAGCTGGGTTCAAACGTTCAGCCAGCATTTCCTAACTGTTTGATCTTAGTCAAGTTCTGTAATTTTGGAAGTTTGTTACCACCTCTGTAAAAGTGAGTATTACATTAAAGCCTAGCTCAGAAGGTTGTTATGGGCACTCAGTAACTGAATTCCTCTGAAGCGCCTGGCACACGAAAGAATTCACTCTCATCCTGAATGGTGATGATGGTCATGGCACGATGGCATTGCTTACTCAGTCCTATCACCTGACATGTCAGAGAAGAGGGGACTTTGGCTCCGTCAGTCCCTCTTCCATTTTCTCAGTAGGGCTTCACACTTACTCTATTTCTATATCAGACTTATAAGTCCTATGTATATATAGCTTCATACATAAACTATATAACAAACATGTCCTTTGACCCCTGCCAATAGAGACTGAAAGGAATCCTGGTGGCATAATGTAAAACATACTAACTGAATGGTCTGCAGGCAGAAAAGATGGGCAGTCACCTCCTATAAAAATTCACAGCATCAGAACCCCAGTGGGGGGGGGGGACGGGGGAGGTCACCACGAGACAGAATCAACTCAGGGTTGCAGGTTTTGGTGGTAAAACAAACTGAACTCTATGATACAATAGTTCTAGGCATTCATCTAGTATCCTCCATTCTCAGCAATCAGGAAGGTGTAATATGGTAGCCAGTACTTCGTAGGGTGAGGAAATGAACGCGTTAAGACAGTAACACACCAGAAACGTGAGTCCAAGTGACCATTACTGATGCAGCATAGACCCACACACGGCCCTCTCCCCGACAAATCTTTTCCTATCCCTTCCTTCCTCAGAGCTAAACACATACTCTTCACCAGGGATCAGCTATATAATGAGGAATAAAGATCAGTAGTGACTTGCAGGTTTTAAAACCATATACAAATTTTTAAGAATAAGTTTTAAAACAGCATCAGTAAAAATTCACCTAAAACTCAAAACTTTTAAGAAAAAAGATTTCAGGTTGATAGGCAAACAATCCTATTGGCTAGTCCTTTGTCGACCATGTTCTTATTCTTTAATGTTACTCATTAACTGCTTCACAACCTCAATCTTTTAAAAATCCTTCACAGTTGTACCACTAGCAGTATAAATTATTTCTCAAAGGCAAAGCAGGTGAAATGGTTTCACTGCTCCTGGCTAAGTATACTTAACATCAAATCTCCTGTTATCCAGTAGATTCCAACTCATGGAGACCCTCCATCAGGTTTCTGAGCCTGTTAATCTTTACAGGAGAATCCTGCCATTTTTCTCCTATGAAGCAGCTGGTGGATTTGAACTACTGACCTTCAGTAAGCAGTGCAATAAGTAATGCACCATCAAATACTCTAGTTACTATACATAAGGTACTGTGATTATTCTCTCAAGCAGTACACCTCTTTTCCCTACCTAGGATCATGTCTTAATAAAATAAAAACATGGTCTAAAGGAAATATTTTTGTAGCAGAAATCTTGGCTCCTTAATGTAGGACATGTCTACACAATTAAAAAGCAAAAGAATGGCTCTGAAATATTTGCAACATCACTCAGTTTTTAGAAGGTTCTGGAATGTGAGGAATGAAAATCCTGGTAGTGACGCAGCTTGTTGAAGCACCTCTGGCGCCAACCTGTCACAGCTAATCTTTTCAAGGCCCTTCCCGGGACTCCACTGGAGACTCCTTCTGCCTTTTTACAAATGGACAAAGGGATGGCTGTGGCAGCCTGCGCCTCAGCAAACTCACGCCCATGCACAGCGGGACTCCAATACTTACTATAGGTCAAATTCTACAGACCCCACCATGCGGGACACTTCGTCAAACTCCTCAGGAGACATGGGAAGAAGGTTGTCCGTCGTCTGAAGTCTAGAAGGGTGACTAAAATAGGGAGAAAGGAAAAGGAAGTGTTACAATTCAAATTCTGAAAGCGGTGACACACATAAGTCAGACATTCTGTCTTCTGCCTAGGCGTGAGCTATCGCTTTAAAACCAAATGCCGTACGGATTCCATGTCAGGGTGAACCCCATGTGTGTCAGAGTAAAACTGAGCTCCACAGGGTTTTCAAGGGCTGATTTCTTAAGTAGAGCACCATGCCTTTCGTCCAAGGCATCTCCAAGTGGACTCGAACCTCCCATCTTCCTGTTAGCATCCAAACACATGAATCATTGGCACCATCCAGGGACTCTGAGTTATCACTTTATTTTTATTTCTGGTAAACACAGAACACTTATAAAATACATTTGGAAGAGAATGGAAAGTGTGAAGTTTGTGTACCCAACCCTGCCCCTTGGGAAATGTAGCAGACTAGAAAGATGGGAGGACGCAGCAGCCAGACGTGAACCTGTGAGGCATCTGTCTGGCGAATGTAGATGTACATGTGTGGTTACACACCCTGAGATGCCTCTCAGCTCACTGTGGAAGGAGAAGCAGCAGAGAAATGTCTGGGGAGTCCCTCGTCCCTACCTTGAGGTCAGTATGCAGATAAAGCTGTTCCACAGAGTGTTTTAACATGATGGCTACATCCATTCACCCCAAGACAGTTCTGCAGGCCAATAACTGACAATGACTTTTCCAAAATTTTTTTTTCTACCTTTTATAAAATGAAACAACAAAATAAAACCAAGAGGAGAAAATGTATCTCAATCATCACCCTGGCCTTTCCTAGATTGTAAAGAACTACTTTCCCACTCTGATAAATTTCTGTTCATTTTATTCACACTTTTTCAAAGCATTGGATTCTGGAGGACTTAGATACCTTAAATACAACTGGGTTTAGTTTTGAAAAACAGCAGTAAAATGCTGATTGGCAGCCATACTGGGATCTCCGATAAGAATATCTCCAAAAGGCTGCAGCAATTATAATGGAAAAGCAAAACACACACATCTTCAAGCGGCCCCAACCAGGAGCCAGGCTGACTCGAGGTGTTTAAACAACGGCCCTCGTCGCTGCTCACTTACACTTCAGACACAGAAATCAATTCAGTCTTGATGTATCCAGTTCCTTTAGGGCCATCAAGCTCCATCGGTTCTGGTGCTAGAAGCAAGCATAGGTGAGCATTTCCGTTACCAGAAATTACACACCAACAGAGCAATCAACTTTCTCTTGGTCACAATTTTTTGGTTTTTCTTGAAAGTCAGGTTGGATGCCTATAACTCTAAGAGCTCCCAGCCTTGATCACCTGAAATTCTAGTGATTGTGAAGAACCAACTAGAAAAACTGGGGAGATGACTTCAGGACAGGCTCCAACCTGGGATCTTTGTCTTTGCAAGGCCTCCTCGGAAATTGTACAAGAAGGTGAGCCTCAGGTATGTGGCTTATTGGTACTACCTCAGACAATGTAATACACACAGCTTCCAAGAAAAGTAGAAGCATCTCTATTCCAATGCAATCTCTTAACACTGCCAAGTCAAGGCCTGCACTTAATTGTGAAAAAGAATAAAATCTAGGATCTACTTAACTGGCTGCCTTGGCTGAGCCACTTCACTTCTCCCAGGCCTCAGTTCCTTAATTTTACTATTTAGCAAAATCAGCTGTCTTTAAGTGATAGCCACTAAGACAGGAAGTGTGCTCTAAAAAGAACCTTCATGGCTAAATTATTGGATGTAGATCACCAGGCCTTTCTTCCAAGGAGCTGCTGGGTGAACCTGAACCTCTAACCTGTTAGTTAAATGTTTAGCCATTTGCACCACCCAAAGTCTCCGTAGTACCAGCATGTTGGCATAAGTCTGTTAGCCATGGCTGTCCTACTCATTACCCCTCCCCCAAGGGAAAGCTAATGTAACAAACACTCAAAATCAGAAGTGGGCTTTTGTAACACCTTTAAAAACATAAGTTATTTATTTGTTTCTTATTTGCTGCAGGAGTTAAAAAAACATGTTACATTTAGGGAGCTCTGGTGGTCTAGTGGCTAGAAGCTGCACTGCAATCCTAGAGGTACACGGTTTGAATCCACCAGATGCTCTGCTGGAGAAGGAAGGGCAATCTCCTCCTGTACCAGTCAGATCTGATTTGATGGTACACACACACAAAAATAATAAAATAAAAAAAATTTTTAAAAACCCAAAAAACAAAACATGTTACATTTCAACTGTTCTCTGTTTATGGACAGCTTTTGAAAGCCAACTCAGAAGAAAGTAGTGGATCAACAGGATAGTAGGGATGGGATTTGTGAAGTAACAAGTTTATGATATTAAACATCTTTGCTAGCAAAGTTCTGGACAACAATAAAATAAAAATTCTCCCTTACCAGGAAGGACTGATGTATTACTGTGTAACAGGGTAACGGCAATTCCACATACCTTCCTTTGGCCTGGAGTAATACTTTCCAAAAGCGTGATCTTTATCAATATTTGGATAGAGAAACTTCAGGGGATTCTCTGGAATATTCTCAGCAGCCATGACTTTGTAATTGCGAATGATATCAGGGAAAGTGACAGCAGAAAGCTCTTTCTTCGTGTAGGGTTCAACCGCATGGAAATTAGGTTCTAGAAAGACAAAAAGCTGAGTAAGTCCACAGAATGTCCCAAAAGAGCAGAGAAGAAAAACATAAATAAAGCACACACAAATTATTTGCAGAGTTTATGGATTTGAGTGACTCTACTAAGAACTTAACACAATATAAGGGTTAAAATAGATCATGGCATACTGCTCTATTTTGACATAAATTACAAATATTTCTTTAAAATAAAATGAAAGACGATTATTCATTACTCTATAATGCTGAACCTGTTATTATATGCTTAAAATTACAAAATTTAAGCATAATTCTGGCCAAAAGAGGCTTGTTAGACATTAAAAATCTACCTCTTTCTTCAATAATAGTCTACCCAAGGTAGAAAGATAACCAATTAATTAATTGGCTCCAGCAGTAAATGAAATTACTAAAAGATAACTTTTATTTTTACATACTGAAAAATAACTTTATTAAAGTATTAAAAGAGTGGGGAATGGAAAACATTATTAAACAAAAAAAGATATTTTCTTTGCAAGGTTTCTAATAACATCTTCAATGTACTAAGCCATATCTTAACTCATCCCTGATCTTAAATCAGCCTTAATTCAAACCCTTCCTAATTTATCCAGTGTCTTCACTATTAGGCAGCCACAATGCACAGGCAACTTTGGTCCTCTGAGGTCTCTGTTACAGGCTGCACTGGTCAAGGCTCTCTACTTGCCAAGAGTTTTCTTCATCCATCTGTGGTCTGTCAGCACACTAACTCTCAGCTACTTCTGCCAGGAAAAAGAAAAGGCAGGCTCTAACAGCTACTGCCTGTACCAGCTCTGGACCCAACTCTCTGGCTCTCTCAGAAGAAAAGATAGATAGATAGATAGATAGATAGATAGATAGATAGATAGATTAGATAGATAGATATAGATAGATAAACAAGCTGTTGATTAGTACTATCAAGTAGAAACAGACTCATAGTTGACCCTCCAGCAGGTTTTGAGAGGCAGTTAACTGCACAGGAGTAGAATGCTCTCTTCCTCTTGCAGAGCATCTGGCTGATTTGAACAAAGTACCTTTATGTTAGCAGTCCAATTCCTTACCAGTAGACCATCAAAGCTCACTAAATAGAATAAGTAGCCTGTCTTCCCCCCAATTTTTTATCCTAACAAAAGCATCAAAGTCACTGCAGCACATTTTCTTGATCCCCTAGTCCTTCAAATGGAGAAAATTAAAGCAGCAATGAAGAGCCACACTTCTCGGTGTTTTCCAACCTTGCTGTTCTGCCCACCTCAAGATTACTATTTTATAACATCAGTGTTATAAAGCTATTTTAGCCACGGGCTCATGTGGTTAAGTAGAAACCAGTGTACGTACTACAGGTAAACACTCAGTTGCTCTGTGTGAAGAGCATGCAAGCATCCTGCATGCAAGCCCATTAAGGAAGTATGTGGCGAAAATCACTAATGGAAACTTCTCACAAGGTCTGTCTCCCTAATCTCCATGAGGACAGGACAGCTGTCTAATTTTTAATCCCCTCAATTCATAGTTAGACAACTGTGGTGGCTGTGTGTGCCATCAAGTCAGAACCAGCTCATAGATGACCCTCCAGCAGGTTTTCAGAGGAAGAAAGTCACATGGGAGATTCTTCTCCCTTGGAGCAGCTGGTTGCAGCTCACCTCTTTACCACTAGTCTACAAGAGCTCCCACAGTTAAACAATAGAGATGAAAATGCTAGGAAGCCGGACACATACACACATTCACTCTCTCTCTACCTATCACCTACTTTTTTTTTTTATGAACTTTGTAAAACAAAGTTAAATGTTTGCTCCCTATTCCCTCACTTCCCATCTGTTAACCTACCAGTATGATTCTATCTGTGGTTTTATACCATAATTGTCTTTTTGTGACTGACTTATGTTACTAGAATAATTTGTTCTCATTTCTTCTGGATGGTTTTATTTTGATGAGGTGGACAATAAAATAATACATTTCTCAAAATGGCTTAGAGGATTTTGTTTTTTTTTAACAGAGCTAATAGATTTATTTACATCAAAAGGAAACCAGATATTTTAGAGTAGGAGTATTAACCTTGGTTTCATCATTGGATCACAGACAGAGATTCAACATAATTCACCATATTAATAAAGTAAATAACAAGAACCATATGATTTAGCAATTGATGCAGAAAAGTCATTCAACAAAATCCAACACTCCTTCCTGATAAAGACACTCAGTAAAATTGGAATAGAAGGGAATTTCCTCAACATAGTGAAAAGTATATATGCAAAATCAAGAGCCAACATAATTCTCAATGAAGAAAGACTAAAAACATTTTCCTTGTGAACAGGGCCCAGACGAGGATGCCTACTGTCACCACTTCTTTTCAATATTGGAAGCTTGCTAGGGCAATATGACAAGAAAAGAAAATAAAAGGCATCCAGATTGGCAAAGAGATGGTTAAACTATCACCAAATGCAGATGATAGGATAGTAGACACAGAAAATGCCAGAGTCAATAACAGCAACAACAAAAAAACCTGTTAGAGTTAGTAGGCCAAATTAGTAGAGTGGCAGGATATAAGATCAATATCCAAAAATCAGTGGGATTCCTCTATAGTAACAAAAAGAGAACTCAGAGAAAGAAACCAAGAAAGCAATACTATTTATAACAGCCAACCATAAATTGAGATACTTGGGAGGGGACCCTAACTAAAGATACAAAAGACCTATTAAAAAAAAACTACAGAACGTTTCTGCAAGAGACAATAAAATACCCAAGGAAATGGAAAAATATGCCCTGATCATGGATAGGAAGACTCAATATTGTGAAAATGACAATCCTACCAAAAGCAACAGCAACAACAACAATGACAGCATAGAGAGAGAGATCAGTTGGCCTAGTGGACAGAAAGTCATACTCCCAAGCCAAAGGTGGGTGACTCCAATCCGCAGCCCTCAGGCCAGCCTTTACTTATTTTTAGTGAAACATTCTTCAAGGTCGTATAACCCTGGTATATCCACTTGCTGTACAGAGGTAACTTGTGGTTGCTGTGAAGCTGAATACTGTGACAGTGATGTGTCAAACGTGAGAATGGTTACACGTGGTGGACAGTGTTTGGTGGAGCTCCCCGATTAAAACAAGCTTGGAAGCAGGAGTGGCATCCACTTCCGTAATAGCTTGCCTCTGGAAACCCTATGAACCTGGAGAAAGGATGAAAGATATACCAGTGTCCAGGTCTTTTGTTCATAGGGTCGCTATGAGTCACCTCTGACTCGACGGCACTTAACAACAACAACCAAAAGCAATCCACATGTTCAACACAATCTCAATCTAGATACCAAATTCCTTTTTCATGGAAATTGAAAGGGAAACTGTCAAGTTTATCTGGAGAGGCAAGAGACTCCCAATAAGCAAAACACTTCTGAGAAATAAAAATGAAATGGGGAGCATAGCATTCCCTGACCTCAAAACCTACTACACAGTGGTTGTAACCAAAACAGCATGGTACAGGTAAAATGACAGGAACATAGACCAATGAAATAGAATTGAGAACCCAGTAACAGACCCAACTATCTATAGGCAACTGATATTTGACACGGAAATAAAACCTATCAAGTGGGAAAATTACCACCTTTTCAACAAATGGTTCTGGCAAAACTGGACTACCTGCAGAAAGCTAAAACAGGATCCACATCTCACATCATACACAAAAATCAACTCAAGGTGAATTAGAGACCTGGAAGTAAATTCCCAAACCATAGGGTTCATAAGCTTAGAAGACCTATTCTATGGTCTAATATAAAGAGGTCACAAAATACAGCCAGAAAGGTACAATCTTAAGAGGATAAAATTGATGACTGGGACCTTCTAATGATTAAATCCCTGTGCACATCAAAAAATTTTCCCAACAGGGTGAAAAGAAAACCTACTGACTGGGAACAAACATTTGGCGATACCAGCTTAGACAAGAGTCTCATAACGAGAGTTTATAGAATATTTCTGGGCCTCCACAAGAAAAGACTGATAACCCAATTACAAAATGCGCAAAAGACATTGAAATAATTTTCACAGAGGAAGAGATTCAAATGGCCTACAGACATATGAAGAAATGCACCAAATCACTGGCAATAAGTGAGATGCAAATCAAAAGCACAATGAGATACTATCTCACTCCAGTAGCAGTGGCAAAGTTTAACAGGACAGCAAGTAATAAAAGAGAGGATGTGGTGAGATAGGACTCTTATACATTGTTGATGGGATTGTAAAATGGTACAACCCCTCTGGAAGGCAGTTTGGCAGTTCCTCATCTGTTCTGGAAAACAAGGTATTCAAACTTTGTAAATAAACTACTATAATTTAACAAAAAAATTAGGGAAAAATTTGTTAAACTGGACATCAGACATAAAGGACATTCATTTTACAATTATCCTCTATATAACTAAATGTTATGTATTTTTGTACATGATTTTATTTTTTATTCTTAAAAGTTAAAAAATTATAAAAAAAACCTCCCCAAACCTGATCATAGAAATTCCATAAGACCCAGCTATTCCATTGCTTGGAATATACCCCAAGAAAATGAGAACTGAGGCACAAATAGAGTCTTGTACACCAATGTTCTTAGCAGCATTATTCACCATCGCAAGAACATGGAAAAATGTCCAACCACAAACGAATGGATTAAGAAGTTATGGTATAGAGCTCTGGTGGCAGTGGCAAGAAGCTGCACTGCAATCTCAGAGGTACTCGGTTCAAATCCACCTGATGCTCTGCTGAAGAAGGAAGGACATTCTCCTCCTGCACCAGTCAGATCCGATTTGACGGTACACACATAAAAAGTAATTAAAAAAAACAAATTATGGTATATTCACATGATGGATTATGATGCAGCATGTAGGAACAATGATTTTGTAAATAACTGCCTAACTTGGGAGGGACTGGAGAGCAATATGCTGAGTCAACTTACTCAGTCCCATAACGACAAATACTGTATAAAACCATTATTGTGGAATGAGTAGGAGGATCCAAGAGAGGGGAGGGAGGAAGCAGTGGGGAGGATTAATCTTGGGGTCGCACAATTTGATGGCAGAATGAGGGAAATGGGAAGGATCTGGTGTGAAAAAGAATGTGTTTGAATTTTGTAAATAAACTAGTATAATAAAAAAAAAAGTAAAAAAAAAAACAAAACCACCCTACTGCCCAGCTTGTTCTCTATTGTTCATAGAGAACAGTAGGTTTTTCAGAGACCAGCTATTTCAGGGTGGATGGCCAATCCTTCTCCCTAGTTAATGGAACCTAACAACAACTGCCCTAAACCAATTAGATTGGAATTTCTCCCGGAATTTTATTATCAGGTGACGTTAATATGCGACTGAACATGAGATCTGTTTTTAAATGGCCTTGAAAGCCAAAAAGTGCTCAAATCTCAAAAGAAAGAACTTTTAAATGATGGAACTTCAGAGCTTTAGAGGGAGACATGTGAGGCAGAAAGAGCCTTCCGAATCCTCTGTGCCCCCAGATTTCAAGAACCACTTTGGCAATGGATGCATAAAGCAGTCCCATACTTCCTCCAGCAGTATTGAGAATTAACCGGAAAAAGAGATCCCCTTAGCCTAACCAGAACAGGTTTGGTCTCCAGCTGTCAACTCAAAACATACCAGAAAGATATTTTAGAAAGAATATTATTTCCTCTTATGCCCATAAAACAGCACACTGGTCTACTTTAATAGGGGAATGCCAAAGAATCTGGAAGTTTATGCCAGAGGGTTCCTTCCAAGAACTGGCTCAAAGCCTTTAACTCTGGTGACCCCGTGGTAAGGTGGCGTTGCACCACCCCCAAACGAAAGGCACGAGGTTCGAAATTGCCCATTGCTCTGTAGAAGGAAGATGGGTGATCTCCTCCGAAGTCATTTGAAGCCTCTGAAAGTTGGCTAGAGGGTCAGCTATGGGCAGGTTCCAATTCCGAGGCCCCTAACAAGAGCAACACATATAATGGGCCCGACAAAACCAAAGAAAGAACCTGCTATGTCTTCTGCAAACTATCATCCCAATAATCTGCCCAAGGTACAAATTCACAACAAATTCGCAAGTATGACTGGAAGCCTTGGCTGAGGGTAAACACAAGTTTACATCATATGCTCATTTGTGCTGATCAGGGGAACAGGTATTTCACCAGCAGGTGTGACATCTGGTGCACGCATGCGCAACTCCATGCACGCACCCTAACACACTCGGCTCGAGGTTGGGGCCCGAGCAAGGCCCGCCCTCCCGTGCTCCCACGCCCACGTACCGCCTCCGTTCTGGGACCGCTCCACCCACGTGAACGTGATGGCCCCTTCCCGGCAGCTCTCGCTGAACCGCAGCAGGAACGTCCCGGGCTGCTGGTCCTTCAGCAGCGCACGTTCTCGCTCCTTGCTGATGAAGCCCACAATACACCTGGACGTTGGAAGAGTAACAGAGGTATTTTGTTCAATCTTGAGTCTAACTGTCGCTTTAATTTACCAATCAAGGGGGCATCTGGTACTTATTGCAAAGATGTATGATAATTGAGAAACCATTTTATATGCTTTTACATCTATGTAACTGATGTTTAAGGAAGCTTTGTACTTATAGGCTGGAGTCCAGAAGAAATTATAAAATGATGTCAACAGGGCATTGCAGATAGCTGCATAATAAGTCCTGCTGCATTAATAAGCTCAGTTTTTACATGCTGACATTTTTATGTCATGAAATTGTCTGAATTCAAAGCCTTTTTTTTTACACTGGGGAAGAGGGGCTCATACGGTATCTTTTCATATTCTAGTACATCAAATCAAGTCAAAAGTCTTTGGTAAAATATCAGTGGACCTTGAGGGAAAAGTTAGATGGAAACAATTTACCAAATTTAAAACATTTCTTTTCCTTCTTCCGAAGGGTAATATAAGGAGCTCTGATGGCTCTGTGGTTGGTTAAGGCACTTGGCTTCTAACCAAAAAATGTTGGCAGTTTGAACTCACCAGCCTCTCCAGGGGAAAAAGAGGAGACATTCTGCTTCCACAGAGATTCACAGCTTTGAAATAACACTGTGGGCTGTTTTATTCATCCCCACAGAGTCAATATGAGTTGAAATCTACTTGGAGTGGCTTTGGTTTTGGAAGGGCAATATACTGGGTGTTTTTTTGTAGAATAAATGAATATAGCAGTGGGATTTGGGTTTGTTTGTTTGCTTTTAAATTTACTTTTGAAACAGCATGCATGCATACTATGAAAGTACATGTTTTGGCGAGCTCTGGTGGCCTAGTGGCAAGAAGCTACACTGAAATCCCAGAGGTGTGAGGTTCAAATCCACCAGATGCTTTGCTGGAGAAGGAGGAACAATCTCCTCCTGTACCAGTCAAATCTGATTTGACGGTACACACACATAAAAATAAAATAAAATTAAAAAAAAATTTAGAAAGTACATGTTTCATCTTCTGAGGGCTCACCTTCAGGAAGGCTGGAAGGGTCAGCCTGTGAGTGTTCCTGTCTTGTCAACAATGTCCTATCTTGCAGTAAAGAAGCATGTGCTAAAAATATTTGCACAGGGCCTTACCCATCATTCCAGAGAGAGAGCAGGTGTTTTTTAATGAGTTCAAGGATGCTTTCAATCCAAAGCCAGAATGAAAAATTTTTATCATTGATATTTTCCTGAAAGTATACAAATGCAAACATTAGGAACAAAGGCATCCAAAGGAGAGGCTTCCCATGCCTGTCCCCCACCTCCCCACATCTGATTTTAGTTTGCAGACTCTCCTGCTGTCTAAGGTCTAACTGCCCGCCGCAGTGCTGAGTGAGCAGAGGTGGGGAATGGCCTCACAGTGACAGGAACCAAGGCTTCTCCTTGCTTATCAGCACTCAGACACACTGACGCACTCAGCGCTCCATTTCCCTGGGTCAGGCTCAGCTTCCCTCTCCAAACAGTGCAAATGACCTCCAGGTGGAAACAAAAACTCCCTCACCAGTAAAATCTGGTCTGTACTGTTGACCCCACCACACCTGTCGCCACTGAGTCAATTCTGATTCATGGCGACGCCATGTCTGCAGATTAGAACTGCGAACCATAAGGCTTTCACAGCTGTGACCTTTTGGAAACAGATCATCAGGCCTCTTTTCTCAGTCATCACTGGGCGGTTGACAGCCAGAATGCTTCAGCATTTTCAACATTCCTTGACTCCTTTGGTGACCTTCCCAAAGTCAACCAATCCCACTGCTGTTGACTACAACCCCTGGCGGCCCTCCTTGGGGTTTCTGAGGCTATAAATATTTTTGGGAGGGAACAGCCCATTATTGTAGGTTGACTGGTGGATTCAAACTACTGGACTTTTAGGTAGTAGTGCAATGCATAATATACCATGCTCCCAGCGTTCTCTTCTTAGCAGATTCCTCTGCTTGTGCTGGGCCCAGAACCTCCTCTGAGAGCTACACTGCCCTGTCAGCACAGAGAACCACTGCATATGGATGTGACTAAAGTCCTGCTGAACAGGGGCCAAAGTGAGCAAACAGAAGATGCATTTTGGATGTGAGACAATGTTATCACCTACCCAGGTGCTTCCTGTCAGACTCACACTTGAATTTCAACTTTCTGCCCAGAACCAAAATAAACAACTTGCAGGAGGGGATCTCTTGGGCAAGACAAACATGCCAAAATAAGCAAACAATGTAACAGCACTGTGGAAAACAGGAGAGTCTCTGAAAAAAGGGAAAAGACTTCTGATAAGTGTCAAACCCAAGCAGTACCCACCTTACAAAACCTGGCCCATGGAATGAGACCCTCAGGACCAGCATTTGGACCTACACACAAAAATAAGATTTTTCAGGAAACAGAAACTGATTCAGAAACTTTGGTTGGACTAATGGGTCTTGTATTTGCTTTCAAAAAAAAGAACGCCCAGCAAAGAAAGCTTGCTGATTTTCTAATGGTAAACTGAGTAGTTACGGTGTTGTTCTGTGCTGTTGGAATGGTCTAATAGCTGACCCTCTCACAGGTTTTCAGAGAAAGTAAATCACACTAGAAGGAACTGACCATCCTTCTCAGAAACAAGTGGTGGATTTGAACTGTGTGCCTTTGGGATTGCAGTGCAGTTTCTTACCATTAGGCCACCAGAGCTCCCTGAGCAGCTACTATAGGTGCCAGAGGATACAAGAGTCTAAAAATGTGTTGAGAGGTTAGATTGTAAGGGGTGCAAATGGATGCTGGATTGGGCACTGCTACATGAGTATTGTTAGGAAACAGAAATCCCACATAGTACCAGCTGTCTCCTTCTCCAGCCTGTGTTAGTTTGTGGATTCTGTATTGTCAATTCTCAGTAGATTTCTAACCCAAATCAAAGACTACCAGCATGCTGGTAGTCTTCAGTGGACATGCACAGAACTGAAAATGTGTTGACCAATGTGCACAATCCCAGTTGAAGCCAACAGAGTGACCTTCTTGTTTCACACTGTAAACAAGTGTCGTTTCCATGTTTGCATATGTTATTGTCAGTTCCAACTCCTAGTGACTCCACATGATAGCACAGAACTGCACCATAACATTTTCTCAGCTGTAATACTTTGGGGAGCAGACTGCCAGTTCTTTGTCCATACAGCAGACCCCCACGGATAAGGATGAAGTACCCGCTGGTGCTCCTGAGCACAGGAATGCCATGAAATGTTTCATGGGAGAAAAAACACATGTTAGAGAACCTTCAGGCACAAGTTCTGGTGCTGTTGGTGGTGACTTCCATGTTAATGAATCAGAAATATTCAGTAAATAAGATGTCTAAAGAGACACACATAAAGCAAAGTTATGTTATCACCAGAGGCTTTCAGGAACCTAACCCCGTATTTCCGAAACTGAGGAGTAATGAACAATTTACAGAACAGTTTTGCTTTACAGAAGGCAATCTGAGTAAAAGTTGACCATGGACTTGGACAGGAATAGTTCAGATACACCCATTTCCTGAAGCTCTAGCACGGAAATTAACAGGCCTCTGCTTTACATGGTGTGGGAGACCTTAGGTGAAGAGTCTTGGGCTTGTACTCTGCCATGAGCACGCCCTGGATCTTATTCCTTTTTTTTTTTTTATTTTATTATTGTGTGTGTGTGTGTGTGTCTGTGTGTGTGTGTCTGTGTGTGTGTGTGTACCATCAAATCGGATCTGACTGGTATAGGAGGAGATTGTCCATCCTTCTCCAGCAGAGCATCTGGTGGATTCAAACCACGCACCTCTGGGATTGCAGAGTAGCTTCTTGCCGCTAGGCCACCAGAGCTCCCTTCCTGGATCTTATTCTTATTTTTTTTTTTCTTTTATTGGGAAAAACATATTGGGGGTACAAGGAGGTGAGGGTTGGGGGCAGAAGGGTGAGGATGGGCCAGGATGCAGTTGCAGAGCTGCACAGTTTGGTCAGTGGGGGGATCTTATTCTTAATATGACTTTCCTTTCACTCACCAAAGTTAACAAGACTTCATCTTTCTTGCCAAGGACCTTATTGAAACTACAAATAATATACTTAATTAAAAGAAATTTCCCCCAGCAACTCTCCTCAGAAATGTTAGTATGAGGCAGTGAGGAAATGAGTCATTTAAATCTTTTCTAAAAGGTGAGCTGTTAAGTCTCACTTGGCTAAAATAAACCATCCACTTGAAAAGCCAAGAAATTGTAACACTTTTTTTTTTAACCATTCACAAAATAAAGAGCAAGGAGGGAAGAAGAACAAGTACAGGTAGTTTTGGAATTATCTCATTTGTATACGCACAAAAAAAAGGACAGGCTCATACCAAGGAGCTTCTCTCCCAACATGTTCAGCTGGTCCACGTTGAGACCTCTTTTGGTGACGGAAGAAAACTGCCAGCTCAGCACCTCTGAAAGCTGAGCCCATCGGGCACATGGTGGGTTTAGGAAGAAGGACAAATTCTAAAGAGAAAACATTTCAAAACTAAGGGACATTGAAGAGCCATCGGTCACACGGTACACATTGTCCCGAAGGTCAATCCCTGTTCATGTGACACACAGAAGTTTTCACAATAGAGGAATCAAGAGGAACATTTTTATAGGTTTACTGTTAGCTAACCAAGCAAATTTTAAGAATAGGGCATGCTTATTTAGTAGATAAACTCTTTAAAACAAAACAAAAAGAACAGTCAGAAAGCACCTGCTCCACAGTAGTCCTATAAAACCATCTATTGCCTGAGCAACAGAAGGAAAAGCCAGATTCTCATTTCTACCATATACACATGGCTCAGCTTTCCAAGAATTGCATAGCCCTGCTGACTGAGTTATGTCATTTCTCTCTCAACATTGGCCTAAGGGACTATTTGAGACATGTGGGAGCCCAAGTAGGGGGTCTCTAGTTAGCCCCTGTTATGGAAACAGATGTACTGTGCATACCCGAGGTTCTGCCACCAGCATGTTGTACCACAGGATGGAGGCCCAGCCACTCGGAAGCTGGCTTACATTGGAGATCACCACAACCGGCAGAGAGGTCGTCTGAAAAAGAACAGGGCTGCTGAAAGCACATGACTCCCAGAAACATGACCAGCACAGAACTGCTTACCCTCAGTTTATCCTGCAGGGAATTGAAAGTGAAACATTTTCAAGTATAAATATGTTCTTTTGTTCTTAGTTCAGTTTCTCTTTGACATACCTGTCAGTTTAAAAATAAGTGCTAGTGCTGAACTCAACACAGGATCATTTACGTGAAAGGTTTAGCTGGCAGGTTCTGAAGGCTAATTAGATTCTCTAGTTTCCTGAACCATTAAACTAGAGCAAAGAAAGTATTAGTTGTAAAGGGCTCCTTTTTTTTTTTTTTAGTAGTTTAGGTAAATATCATAAAAATGATAAAGAGAAAAATACATGTGGCAGTTAAAAGTAAAAAAATTCAGAAAGTTTTTCACTCCTGGCACTTAAGACTCTTACCTCAAGGTCAATTACCAAGCCTGGCTGGCACAACTGGGTTTCAAAGCTGAGGGAGTGAAGTTCTTCACTAACGATGAGAGGGCCCTTAAAACAGAAAAGTTAAAAAAAAAAAAAAGCAAATTAAACTATTTTCTCGCTGATCCATCTTCCAAAGGCTTAATAGGCACTGCAGGAGAGCAGAGAGATCTTAAACCCCATGAGCTTCAGCTCAGAAGACTCCAATTTCTAATAAGCTGTCATGGATTTGGCCTCCTTGGTGGTACAAATGGCAGATGCCCTCAGCTGCTGACTAAAAGGCCGGAGTTTACCCAGAGGCACCTCAGAAGAAAGGCCTGGTGACCTCCTTCTGAAAAAATCAGCTACTGAATCAGCCCAATATGGAACTGAGCTCTGACGACACACTGAGTCACCAGAAGTCATAATCAGTGACAGCTCTGGGACCCAGATTTAACTGCAGGCCTGTGCCACCTAACATACGTTCAGGCAGCATTCTACACTACTGGTTTTAAAGACCCCAATCCCAGACTATTACAACACATGGGTGCCATACAGGCAAGTAAAACAGGACTTGGCTCTCAGGCTTTGTCCTGTGAGCAGGTAGGGGAGCCGCCAGCCCTGGGGAGCAGTGGGCAGGGCCAGGCACACTACTCCTTCCTGCTCATGTCCTTTTGCTCTGCCCCTATGCATGCCTCCAGCAGCAGCAGCAGCAATAACAACAGCAATGGGAACCACTAGAAAACTGTTCTAATAAGGTTTAAAAAGGGTGTCTTCCCAGGGGGCTCTGGTGGCCTAGTGGCAAGAAGCTGCACTGCAATCCCAGAAGCATACAGTTCAAATCCACCAGATGCTCTGCTGGAAAAGGAGGGACAATCTCCTCCTGTACCAGTCAGATTTGATTTGATGGTACACATACACAAAATAATAAAAAATAAAATTAAAAAATGATGTCTGCCCAATGTCCCAATCACACACTGTCCAACTATTTCACAGGATGTATTGTGGATGTCAAGCAACACATACCTGTGCTGTGAACCTATCAGTGTACTCACATAGGTAAAATTTGTGGAATTATAGCAAAAGAAAGAAAGAAGTCAGTAGGGAAATAGTAGTACTAAATGGGGCTGTTCATGGCCTAGGGCTCCTTGATCTTCAGCATCCATTTGTCCACATTCTCCCAGGTAAGGGCTACGTACCTCCCACAGACAGGGAGGCGGGAAGTAAATAGGGTTAGCGGTAGTTCTCTGCCTCCCTAATTCCTAGCCTACAGCAGTAGGTTAGAACCTACACTTTTTTGTTGTTGTTGTTAAATTTTTATTTTATTATTTGTGTGTATGTACCGTCAAATAGGATCTGACTGGTACAAGAGGAGCCCCTCCATCTCCGGCAGGGTTTCTGGTGGATTTGAACCACATATCTCTGGGATTGCAGTACAGCTTCTTGCCACTAGGCCACCAGAGCTCCAGAACCTACACTTCTAAGACGGCAGACCTGCCCTTTCGGGTTTCCAAGGCTATAAATCTATTGCTGTATCTTAACCCAGAATTCCCTATAAGAAGACCTAATTCACCTAAACTCAGTGAATTTTAAAATGTGCTAGTTTTTGTGTAGAAATAGGGATTTCAAGGAAGATTTTATCTAATTGAGCATCACAGTGATTTGGGGCTAGGGTGGTACAGCAGCTGTCTTTGTTTATAGGAGAACAGACTCAAGTCCCCGGAGGTCACAGAAACAGGTGCAAGCCAGGGCGAAAAAGTGTGCAGTGTCTTGTCATCCTGTGGGTCCACAGAATACTCTGGGACATTCTTCTACCTTTTATCCACATTTAATACTGGAATATATCACAAATATAATCCTTGTTTAAAAAAAAAAAGGGATCAGGTTGTAAAAAGGAATTTCAATGAAAAAGATGCCCCTGGATGGGAAAACTCTTAGCCCATGTGGTTTTCAACACTCGGGGGTGAGGGAAAACAAAATATTCATTGTCTTCAAATTGATTCCAGCTCATCATGACCCCATGTGTTACAGAGCCAACTGCTCCAGGGGATTTTAACAGCTGTGATCCTGAAAGAAGTAGGATCACGGTCTTTTTTCCAAGCTACCACTATCTGAGGGAGCACTGGTGGCCTAGTGGCAAGAAGCTGTGCTGCAATCCCAAAGGCATGTGGTTCAAATCCACCAGATGCTCCACGGAAAAGGATGGGCGATCTCCTCCTGTCTGATTAACTGCCTCTGAAAACCTGCTGGAGGGAGGGTCAGCTATGGGTTGGTTCTGACTGGATGGTACTCATCCACGACCATCACCACTATGTAGATTCAAATGGCCAACTTTAATATTAGCCCAGACGTACTGCCAAGTGGATGCCAGTATTGACCCTCCGTCAGGTTTCTGAGGCTGTAAATCTTATGGAAGGAGACTTCTTGTCTTTTTCTTATGGAGCTACACGGTTGCATTTGAATTACCAGAGACCTGGGCCTTGTGGTTAGCAATACAACATGCTACAGACTATACAACCACAACCATTTTTGGAGCATAAACTAGTCTCTTGGTGCAGCCCTGTGCACTCCTGGCTACACCCTGCAAACCTCCGGTGACTCTACTTCATCAGCAGAACGTGAACAGTGGAAAGCTTGCCACGCCTACCCCAGTGAGCGGTCTGAGGACCTAAACTTCAGTCATTTGACAACCATAATGGAACACTACACGGGTGCGGAAGGGCTTTTACTAGGATCAAAAACACATCAAGTTGGAAAGCTTTCTTGGCTGCTCTTCCCTGCTGGGTCTGACCTCTCTATGAAGTGTCCCCTGGTCACTGTCCAGGGCACTAGCCCATCCTCAATGGACACAGGTACCTGCTGGGTTAGGGTCCTTTCACAGGACAGAGACTCACCTCATTAGATCTGGTGCCAGCGTTTTTCTGTTCTTTCAGTTGCTGAAAAACAAGAAACTGGCTTAGTAAATGGCACATGGAGATATCAGAGCTGCTGTCTGTATACACAAGCTGGATCAAAGTGTGAAATAATTTTCAGAATGCAGGGAAAGAGATGGACTAGTCCATGCATGGGCTCATGACTATCCCCGGCAGGTTGACCTCGGGTAGTAACAGCCTGGTCCTGCAATACTCCCGAGTGGGTTCCCACTCATCATCAGTTGTCTAACACCAAGCAAGCCAGGCTCAGGGACTGCATCTCCTCCCCCATTTCTCCACAATCCAGCAGAAGAGGTTCTGGGACTCCAGACCCAGGTACGAGTGCCCTCAGAAGGACTTCAACCCTCGGGGTTTATAGGAGCAACTTGAGACCTGGAGGCAACTCTGGACTCACTTAGAAATCCTGAGCCTGAAAGAAGCCTCCTCTTCTTGGCTTTGAGTTTGTTAGTTCATAAAACAGCTTCTAATGACAAATGGCAGCTTGAGCCTCCCTGCAGGGTCAGGGCCCCCTGAGACTTCTGGGCCTCCAAGGCAGCCCACGAGGGCCCATGCCTTTACGGAGGTGAGCAAGTTAGGACACACCCACTTAGATCATCCCACCCTTCTCCACTCAGCCCTGTTTCTCCAGGGACAAAGTGGTACCTAACTGGCTGCAGTGGTGTGAGTGGGAGAATGTGAAGAAGCAGTCAGAGGAGAGGATTTGGGTGTGTAGACACATTGGAGGGTAGTAGAAAGAATGCTAAGAGACACAGGGACAATGATCTTTGAGAGAATTGCCAAGTCTAGAGTAATAACCGAGACCATGCAGATTATTTATGTGAAGGAAATTTTATGAAAAGTTTTACTGAGAACTGCCACATCAAAAAGGGATGTTTCTAGGGAAAGAAATAGCCTGGGAGCAAGCAGAGGGATAGTTCTAGGATAGAAGGAACCAAGAGTCCCCACTCATGTGAGCAGTCATCAGTCACAAACCCTGTCTTCTACTAGGGCACATCCTCCATACAGAATGCCAGCGCACTGCCACTGAGTTGACTTTGACTCACTGTGACCCTGCAGGCCACAGCAGACCTGCCCCGTGGGGTCCCCAAGGCTGTAAGTATTCACAGAAGAACTGACTGCCTCATCTTTCTACTCTGGAGCAGCTGGTGGGTTCAAGCCAACCAGTCCTTCAATTAGCTGCCCAAGGCTTGACCGGAAGTGCCACTGAGGCTCCTATCAAAGGTGCTACTCTATCTACCACAAACCATCCTAATAAAATTAAAAAGAACATGCAAGGAGAGAAAACGTGATCTCCTTACCAAGTGTCGGAATTCCGCTGCCAGACTGCCATTGGTGGACTCTTCCATGTTCATCACTTTGGTATGTGTGCCCAGAATGTTGAACTTCCTAAATCTGCACAACAGAGGGTAGGAATACTTAAAACGCTTTGAGCTATTAAAGAAAGACTTAACTGGGAATGCATTGGATAAAGTATGTCACATACCCTTTTACTGTACTTTTCTCATTCACATCTCTGAAAAAAAATAAAAAAACACATAAGAAATTTAAAATTTCAAATGAGCATTAATATTGATAAATCTGTAGAAAGTAAGTGAAAAATACTTTCTGCATGTGGGTTTTCTTGCCACGTGACCTTCAACAAATATATGATCTCAGGCTTGAATTTCTCATTTGTACAACTACTCACAGCAGCAAGGCTCTAGGATGTCGTGCACAGTAATTAGTGAGTGCTGAAGAGCACAGAGTAAATGAGTATAAGTTTTAGTTCCTGCTGTTCATTGAGAAACTACTTACTTTGTGGAAGGTGGTATTCTAAGCACTGTGGACTTAGCAAAGAAATGTTATGAAACTTGGAGGGCTTTCCAATGGGATGAGTTTAACTGTCTTAATTTTCTAATAGGGAATTCTGGAGGCATAGTCCATCAGGAGTTGCCCTGCTAACCTAAATGCATTGGTTTGCAGCCACCAGCAGCTCTGTGGGCGAAAGATGGGCAGTCTCCTCCTGTACCACTCAAAGCCCTGGAAACTTGATGAAGAGTCAGTTCCAACTTGAAGGCAGTGCAAGAAAGGTATAGAGTATCTTTAATACTTTCATGGAAATACGAGAATAGTTGGTTATATGGGGAAACTGGCAAACTTAAGTTTTAAACTAGAAGTTTAAAATATTATAGGAATTTTAATCTTATAGAAATTCAGTGATTATTTTGTTGTGTCCTAGCCAAATAATGTACGCCAGTGGTATAGATGGCCCATTAGAAATTATTAGCCCATTTACAGTAAAATGTGTTAGCAACCCATCCTCCCCTATCTCAACTAGCAGTTTAATGTTTTGTGAATGATAATCCTCATGACCTATGAGAAAACTCAAACTCGTTGCCATCACTGGGACTGACCCAGCGCTGACACTCCTGTAGATTTAGGGAGGCTGTACATTACATGTGAGGAGACTGCCCATCCTTTTCTTTTGAAGCCAGTGGTACATTCTAATCTCCAGAGAGGCTTTGACTGTGCAACTCCCTATAGACTGTACCTCCAGAACCCCCTTTAACGATGAGAGTTTGAAACAAAAAATAAATTTAAAATAAAGAACAAAACCCACACACCCCCACCCACCCCATGTGATACAAAGCTACATTGTCAAATGGTGAGAAGGAAAATCAGTTCTAGTGCAAGACAGAAAAAATAAAGGAGTATACACTCAGAATGAGCTAATGTAAATGACCGCAGAGTCTCTGTAGCTTCCCCCCTCTGAGGGACAGAAGGTATGTTCCCATCCCTTGAATGGGCGCCGGCCTTGACTTGCTTTGATCAACAGAACATGATGGCAATGATGCTGTAAGGTTGAGAGTGGGGAACTGGGAGGCTTTGCACACTGCCTTTCTCCTCTTCCTGGGACGGTGCCACCAAGTCAGTACAGCTGAGACCCCACTGTGCTCCAAGCTATGCAGGACCATCTAGGTCCAGCCGGGCTCATCCACCCCAGAAGAATTTCTGAATCCCATGACATATGAGTAATTTAGAATTTTTTTTTTTTTAGAATTTTAAAATGTTAAGCCAGTAAGATATAGTGTGCTAGGTTTGTAGTAAAAGCTAACTGATACACAGAGAAATCCCAGACAATTGCAGGAAAAGACAAAGGTTCGCGGTTCAAATCCACCAGATGCTCTGCTGAAGAAGGAGGAACAATCGCCTCCTGTACCAGTCAGATCCAATTTGATGGTACACACATCACATAAAAGAAATAAATAGATAGACAGATAGGCAGCCAGCTGCTTTCTCAAAATTAAAAAAAAAAAAAAAGACAAAGGTTCATACTATGTTGCATGGAATAAGCTTATAGCAGGACGAAGAGATAAAGAGCCAGGAAAATTATCTGAGTGTCACTAATGCTTTTTAAACTTGCTTAAGTGGTGGCTACCATAAGCCAAGAAAAGCCCTAGATCTACCCCAGGAGAAAGGCTGCCATATTCCTTAATCCAAGTGGTAAGTTCAGAGCTAGTCCAGATCAAGGGCAAAATGGAATGCCCTGGTCCATGTGGATACCTGTGAGAGATGCTGTCCATTTCTGGGTCCCTACTGCCCAGAGGAGATAAGGGTGACTCTAGCAAGCTCCACCTAAGACCCCACAAAGACACCCCCTTCACTGCAGAAACAAGCCCAAACTGAGCACAGAATCCAAAGCTACCTCAAGGAGCATTACCCTTACATTTGATAAAGGGCTGGCCTTGGGGATAGTCTTGGGTGGCAGAGCCAGGTAACAAGTCCTGCTACTAACTGAAAATTGACTGTTTTAGTCTTTGCACAGGGTCCTCAGAATAAAGGGTTGGTGATGTGGTTCTGAAAAATTAGCCAGCCCTACAGAGCTGAGTTCTACCCTGGTACGTGAGGGGCCACTATGACTTAATCAGCTGGATGGGAGCAGGTCCGGCTTCTTCACTGAGGGAGCTCTGCTGGCTTGGTACAAAGGAACTGCACTGCCATAGCAAAGGTACGCAGTTCTAGTCCACCAGCGGCTCCATGGGAGAAAGATGGGCAGTCTCCTCCCATGCCATTAACTGCCTCTGAAAGTCTGCCGGAGGATCAGCTACAGGTCACTTCCGACTCTGTGGCACACAACAAGTGGAAGGCTTACTAGTACCAAGTCAGCCTGCTTTGTAAGCCGATAATCACCAACCATCTCCTATGCAAAATACTCAGTCTTGTGTTTATTGATAGTCTAAAAAAAAGCACAGGCATGTGCAGACCAGCTCTAGGAGAAGCTCCCAATATCCAGAGAAGAAGTGATTTAAATCTGCTGGGATCATCTACAATAGCCCAGATGGACCCAAGAAGGCTCCTGCTCACCTAGAGCAGCGCCAGGGCCCCAGTGACTCAAACTCCTCCCTGTAAAGCCAGTGAGGCCACCTGCTGGACGCCTAGCAGCTGTGCATGTTTAGTGAGGGAATTCTTTATTTTCTTTCTTTTTTTTCCACCCTTATTTTATTGCTGAGGAACCTAAAGACAGTGAAGTCAAGATCTTCCTTAACTAGTCAGTAAAAGCTGTTAAGTGAGTAGTGATCAAAACACAAAGGCTATTTAAATGGGGCTTGTAATTTTGCATACTAAACTGTTTAGGCGGTTCAAACCCACCAATGACTCTTCAGAAGATGGACAATCTCCTCCTATGCAGTTTACAACATGGGAAACCCAGTGTCGCGAAGGATCACCTACGGGTGGTTCTGAAGCAAACACAATGAGCTTAATTTGGATTCTGTGGATATCATTTAGAAATGCCTAGGTGTTACAATATTTCCCCCACCCCCGCCCCTGAATAATATTGGCAATCTCAATCTGAGTATTTTACAATGCAGGTTAGCCTGAGGAAACTGAGGTGACAGAGAATCCACCCTTACATCTTCTCAAGTTCACTGCTGTTCGATTGTACTTGTCTACCTAGCTGTCAGGGCAGAGAGCAGGATTCCACCTGCCACGGTTTGAGTCAGGCTCCCTGTCAGGGCTGAGGTGTGAAACCTTGTCCCTTGCAGTGGGTTTCAAGCTTTCCTTCTCAACACAGTTAAGTATTTAGCTGGGGTTAACATGGAGCCATATGATATTTGCCATAATACCTTTAGACATTGAGATCAAACATCTGAAATTATTAACAGAAACACTTTAACAGTACTTGTAATTTAGATAATATGAAAAATAACTTACTTATCAAACAAGACTTTGACTTTTAAATTATAATTAAGCTCTTGTAGTTTCACCAGCAATCTGGAAGAAGAAAGGAATGTTATTATTTCATAATTATCTGTTATAACTAGTTTGTTAGGGTTTTCAGAGGCCTGCTATTTTGGAAGTGGATGGCCAATCCTTCTTCCTAGTGTGTGTCAATCTGAATGTTCAGATTTAGAGAAGTATCCAACAGATAAACATTTAACAGAAAAAGTGAAAATATATCCATTATTGTGGAATTAACCACTAGGACAGCTAAGAAAACAAACAGATTCATCCTGGAGAGGGTTAAACCGGGCTGCTCCTTGGAGGCAAGGATTTTAAAACTTTGTCTGACATACTTTGGTCATGTTGTAAGGAGGGACCAGTCCTTGGAAAAGGACAGCATGCTTGAGAGGGTGGAGGGCAGGCGCAGGAGGGGAAGGCCCTCTGGGAGGTGGATTGATTCAGTGACTGGGGCAATTGGGATGAGTGTGTCGGAGACAATGAGACTGGCACAGGACAGAGCAGAGTTTAGAAAAGCTGTTGCAAGCGACTTGACGGCACGTAACAACAGCAACAACATCTGTTATAACTTATTGTGCCAGTTCCCTGTCTCTGGACGTTCAGATTTTCCTTCTCTCCACGCCCATTCTTTGGTTATTACAAACATGTCAGAGCTGAAATTGACATTCCTGGGTGTCTATCTTGGCATATTTTCTAGGTGTGTTTGAAGAATATGTGCCTGCTGGTGAGACTAATGGTGCAAAACTGTAACATTATAGTCTGATAGAAAATAGCATTGATTCAGAGTTCCACTAAAAGCTGGTGAGGGCACCGCTTCTCTATCAGGCCTTGTTAATACAGAGTTTAAACAAAGCCTAAACTTTATGCCAATTGAATGATAAAAACAGTGAATAATACTTTTTACTAAAATTTTATCACTGTGTATTTGCTGGGGGAAAATAATAATAACTCATCCGTGAGGAAAATGAGAGTCACTCTAAAATTTGTAGGAGCAATGCAGATGTTTCCATCTTCCACCTGTGATTCTAGGATGCCACAGGCAGTTGGAATCAGGTACTGAGATATCAGCAAGTCAGAGAAGCAGCCCCCATAGAAAGGACCCTGGCCAACTCTGAGGGCCACTGTGACTTCATAGAGTCTGTCGAGCTGCTCTTCAAAAGAGGAGGGATAGGTAAACAGATATAGTCACTCAACAGAATAAAGAAACGAGACAGTGTTCTCACATGGAATAATTTCTACAGTTTAATTCTAAGGAGGAAAAGTAAACTATGTACACACACACAAACACACACACACACAAAATTATCTCCTCTAAAGTACATCAGTCTTGTGAAAGAAACACAGAAGTGGAAGCTAAGTGACAGTGCATAGTGTTACACCTTTTTTTAATTACCTCAGCTTCACAGTAAACTGGACTCCTGTCTTCAGGACCAGAGGCCTCTGAGGATGAGTTGGCATGCAAGGCTGTCTTTCCACTACAAATGAACTGAAAATACACAAGCAAAATGTTTCATAAAGTTCAAGATAGTAAAAAAAATTCTCTTTCCTCCATATGAAAGGGTATTAGAAGGCAGACCTAAAAAAAGGTGACACATATTGACCAGCCAGTTAAGTCAGATGATGCTTTCTTAGTCATGAAACCCAAAAATCTAATTTATAGTCAATAAAAACAACATTATAATGATTTGTGATATTTGTCAAAAATTAAAATCCTGAATTTTAGTTGGTTCACATACAAATTTGCATTGAGTTACTAAAAAAAAAAAAAAATCCCAAATAAGTATCTCCAGTTATCTGGAAGCAGGAGTGGCATCCACTTCCGAAATGGCTTGCCTCCGGAAACTCTATGTACGAACAGTGCTCAGGCCTTTCATTCATAGGGTCACTATGAGTCGTCTATGACTCGACGGGACCTAACGACAAACAACAACAGTTATTTAAAAGGGAGCTGTGGTGGCCCAGTGGTAAGGAGCTGCACTGCCAACCCAAAGGCACATGGTTCAAATCTACCAGCTACTCTGTGGGAGAAAGACGGGCAGTCAATTCCCATGCACTTCACTGCCTCTGAAAAACTGCTGGTGGTCAGCAATGAATCAGTTCTGACTCAGTGGCACATAGCAACCGGAGTCATCTAAAAAATTTCTTACTTGAAAAAAAGAAGATAGATATTCTTGTTTGGACAACAGACACAAGAAGCCAAGGACATTTTTATGATGTCAAATTAGCATAAAAACAAACAAGCCTGTCATGTGAACTCTACTCTCCCATTCAGTGTCATGTATTCATCTCCTAAACATGTGGGCAAACCAATGTGCTTGGCCCTGCTGGGGGACAAGTGTGACAAGAGTTACATGTCTTCCAGAATTTTCCACTTTCAGCAAAGGTAATACACACACAGAGGCAACTACAGAATAAAAGGAAGAGTGGGATGGTATAAGGAACAAACTGTGCATGGGGAGAGAAGGAGAGAACATCTTTGTGGGAACTCTGGGAAGATTCTACAAATGGAATCATTCAGGATGGCAGAATGGCAGGAGGAAGTGCAAGAGTACAGGCTCTCAGGTAGGAAAATAGGAGTCCCTGGAGGAGCGACAGGACAGGCTGGACCTAGGAAACAGGAGACAGACTGCGTAAGGTCAAGTCTGGAGTGGGCGGCCAGGCCTGGCTATAGGGTGGAACTGTGAAGGCGCTCAGCTGAGCAGTACCCCTTGGTTTGTTGCTGTTATGATTAATAAGTGGTGAAAAGGCAGTGTGGACCTCTGCTCTGGGACCACACTGAGTAAAAGGGATGAGGACTGAGAAAATGGACCAGATGGAAAAACTTGTATACTTGTTTTAGAAAACACAGAGCTCAGGAAATAAGCATTCAAAAAGCCTAAAAAAAAAAGTACATAGTGTAGGTTTAGGCAGAGGATGGCCACGAGTAAAGCAAAGTGATTAACATCACCAGATGAGGTGACCAAAGGAATAAAAGGCCGCTGTTAGGATTTACAGCCTCAGAAACCTGACGGAGGGTTACTCCAAGTGGGAGCTGACTGACCGCAGCGAGTTAGAGTTAGGCAGAAATAGGGAATTCAGAGAGAAGGCTGGGCTTCTGGGGACGTTAACATTTTCATTAACGATTTACATAAACAAACCCTCCCTAAGGATCTGGGTTACCATAAAATTGTCCTCAGGGTAAAATAACTACAGAAAGCCCAAGCAAATAGCCCTTAAGTTACCTCTGAATGAGCTGCTGGAAAAGTGTGAAGGTGCGGTCCCCCAACACTTGTTTGTTTTTGGTGATGGGGTCATGGTCGTAAGTGTATTTCTGTTCCAACTCTTCCAGCTTTTTGAGCTGCTGACGAACTTGCTGCAGACTTTCAGCAACTATGGTGAACCTGGACAGGAGTGAAACACAGGGTCAGTTAGAAGATTCTAAAAGGCAGCCTGAACTGAAGAAAATGTAGGCGAATGTCCTGGAAATAACTAAGTGGTTACAGGCATCATCACCTATACCCCTCGGTACTGGGGAAACAGGGAGCAGCATGGGAGCTCTGGCATCCAGGAACTTAGTTGTCTGGGGAGAAAAACCCTAATGTGCCCTGAGCTACAGCCCAGATCAGAACACCTCTGCATACTTTTGAGATCTCCATCAGGGAGGCAGACATGTACAGTGCCTGCACTAGGCAGTCTGTGATATAGGCCATTAACGAGAACTGAAGAAAATGCAAATGGTCTGTACCAGCTGCTCATTTAAGGACTGGCTGTCTGAACACGCCCACCACCCATGCAGCAACTCCGGTGGCATGGTCCTTTCCGTGTTGTGCCGCTCACCAAAAGGACACATTCTCCAGCGCAGTTCAAATCTACCTTCAGCTCCTTGGGAGGAGTAGACGCTTTTCACTTAAGACTTCTAGCTTTGGAAACTTGATGGAGGGTGACTCTGAGTCATAACTGATTGAAGGGCAGTAGGTTTGAATTTTGAACATCACCACAGAAGACAGACGTGGTGATCTGTAAAGGTTACAGCCAAGACACAGTATGGAGCAACGCTATTCTGTAGCACACGTCAGAACTAACTAGATGGCGACAGGCGTTTAAAGGAATAGGGCAGAGGGGCAAAGGACACAGGATGAGGTAAGACACATAAGGAAGCAGTAAAGGGTTTGCATCAAGACATTGAAGGAGGAAACTTCTGTGATGCAGGCAGGGACCCAGAACCGTCACGAGGCCGTGGGAACAGTGCACATCAGTGACCCAAGGTCTGATGCAGGCAAAAAGGGAGGATGAAGATAACACGCTGAGTTGAAAAGAGAAGGTATCACATTCAATCTAGATTCTAGAAACAGACATTATAAGGCCAGTGAGTGAACTAGTAATTGTTTATAGCAGAGGCTCCAAACCAAATCATGCTATGGAAAAACCACGTTATCTGCCTAGAGAAATAATGGAAGAGAACCTTTTAAAAATACCTCCCTAATTAAAACAGATTCAACTCATTTCATTGCACAATACTCTTTTTTTTTTTGGTGCTTGACAGATGTGTTTTTTACAAATTGAAAATTTGTGGCAAGTCCATGTTGAGCAAGTCTACTGGTGTCATTTTTCCAACAGCTCACTTGGTAACTCTCATAACAGTGTTGAACTTTTTTATACTATTGCTGCATGCTTAATCGCCTACAGCATGACATAAATGTACCTTTTGTCTGCACTGCTGTTTCACTTTAGGTGCTTTCAAGTCAGAACTCACTCAGACCTGACCATGGAGCAGGTTTTCAGAGACTAAATCACATGGGAGGAGACTGCCCATCTTTGTCCTGCGGAGCTGCTGGTGGATTTGAACTACCTGTCTTTGGGTTGGCAGCAGAATTCCTTACCCACCAGATTATTGAGATACTCACTTTACTACAGTGGTTTGGAACTGAACAGTGTCTCTAGGGTATGCTTATACTGAATTTCAATGTTTCACTCCTGAGTTCAGAAAAAACCTAAATTAAAGAACTGTTTTATAGCTTTGGGCCATAAAACAAGAGGGCAGTATGGTGGCCACAGTTCCAGGCACAACTTTACCCCAGTTTTCCCAACATCCACAGTATGCAGACACGTACTGAAGAGAGCTGGAGGGCATTTGTCACATGGCCACAAAATGACCATAAGGGGCTTTCAGACATCCCAGGGGCATTTTCGTCACTTAGAAACTTAATCAGCCAGTTGTCATGCAGTCAGTTCTGACTCATGGTAAGCCTGGTGTGTCAAAGGAGGATTATGTTACATAGGGTTTCTGTGGCTGTTTCAGAAGGTTACACTGTCTGTCTGCTGAGTCATCTCTGGGTGGATGTGACCCACTTCTTTGAGCTAGTAGTTGACTGCATTAACCCTCTGCACCATCTAGGGACCCTTCTGTGTCTATACGAACTCTTAAGCCTACCAGATGGAGACACTGAAGAGTCTGTTCAAGTACAGCTTCCTCGGTGAGATCCATCTGAGTGAATCTTTAGCCTCCTGGGAACTCTGGATATACCCAAATCTCACATATAACCACGTTTACTGCATAGAATTACCATGTCCGTCTCCCCATTCCCAATGGAGAGCTCCTTGCTACAATGAATAGGAATCATTCATCTTATGTATGCTAGCACAGTGCTGGCATACGGTAATCATTCAACAAATGCTTACTGGATGGCGACTTAACACATGATCCACAAGGATTCCACATAAACCTACAGAGTGCCTACAATTTAAAAAAAATAACATCAAGAATCAAGTGTTTAAATGTTACTTGATAACCATGATAAGAGTCAAATGATCAATTACAAGGAAAACTGAGGAAGATCTGAGTTGTGGTGCTGATGAAGAGTATCACATACAGTATGGAGTGCCAAAGAACCAACAGATCTGTGTTGGAAGGAGTGGAGCCGGAGCACACCTCAGAAGTGAAGATGGTGAGTTTCACACTGCACGCGTATTTTCAGGAGTGATCAAACCCTAGAGCAGGACACCATGCTTAGAAAAGGAATAGGCCAGTAAAAAAGAGGAAGGGGCCTCAACCAGATGGACAGGCACAGCAGCTGCAGCAGTGGGCTCAGACAGAGCGATGGCTATGAAGACCGGACAGCGTTTCACTCTCCACAGGATCGCTAGGAGTCAGAATCAACACGGCAGTACCGGGCAACAAAGGGCATGTACACCAGGAAGAAGAAAGTTCTAGTCAAACAGAACACGGCAGAATGTGTCAACTCATGGGGATAATGCTGTCCTGTCCAAGTATTTCCAGGATAAATTCAAGCTGGATGGGGTTCTGAACCCAAAAGTTCTGGTGGGGTCTATTTCAGGGTCACTGCAGTTTGATCACATGCTTTGGAAGTTCCTTTTTTCTGCCCACCAGTTGCCAGTCTTCTCTCTAGAGAATCTTACCAGTTCTGTAGCTGATCAAGGCAAGCATTGGGTGGTCCCCCAATACAGGCACTCTGCTGCCTCCGCTTCCATTCCACCAGCTCGTCGTTAATCAGAGCATTCTGGGTAAGTTCTGTGATGTTCAACAACTCTATAATTTTATGAACTACTTCCTAAAGGAAGATAAAAAAAAAGATGAGTTACTGTTCAAATCCCTGAATCTTTAAAGATTTTCTTTTTTTTAAATTAAGGCAAGGACTTTTTTCCATTCTCAAATGGTGCACCATGGCAAGTGGTTATGAAAAGAATTTTTTCCCTACAACCAGGAAGGATAAAATAGATGAATGGGGCCTTCTACAAATAAAATCCCTATGCACATCCAAAAACTTCTCCAACAGGGTAAAAAGGGAAGTCACACACTGGGGGAAAAAATATTTGGTAATGACATGTCTGATAAGGGACTTATATCTAGAATTTATAAAATACTCAAGCACCACAAGATAAAGGTAAACAACCCAATTGAAAAATGGGCCCAGGATATGAACAGACACTTCACCAAAGAAGACATTCAGATGGCGAACAAAATGTTCAAAATCCCTAGCTCTAAGAGAGATGCAAATCAAAACAACTATGAGATATCATCTCACCCCAGTAAGAATAGCAAAATTTAACAGAGCAGCAAGCAACAAATGTTGGCAAGGTTGTGGAGAAACTGGAACCCTTATTCACTGTTGGTGGGAGTGTAAAATGGTACCACCACTGTGGACGGCAGTATGGCACTGTCTCAAAAAGTTGGAAATAGAAATACCATTTGACCCAGCAATTCCACTACTAGGAATATACCCTAAAGAATCCAGAACTGCCACCCAAGCACATATATGCTCCCTCATATTTACTGCAGCTTTGTTCACAATAGCACAGAGTTGGAAATAACCCAAGTGTCCATCAACAAACGAATGGATAGAGAAGTTGTGGTATATTCACACAATAGAATACTATGCTGCATTGAAAAACAAGGAACTCATGAAATATACAAAATAGGTGACCCTGTAGGATATTATGCTGAGTGAAATATCTCATCAGAAAAGGACAAATACTGTATAGTGCCACTGTTGTAAAGCAGGACTGACATTGGGGTTGGGGGAAGACTAAGAGGGGATAAATAATGTATACTGCATTGAAACAGAACAGAGAACTGTTTAGGAAGAATATATGAATAGGTATTATTGTCATGACAAGAGTCCAGAATGAAAGCTGCATAGTGGAGTAGACTTGGGGGGAGATTGTATAACAATGAAAGTTTTTTGGGTTTTTTTTTACTTTTCAAAGAGAAAAGCAAACTGGTGGGGAGAGGTGGACAGGGAGGAAAGTGTGCAACTATGAATGAATGGAAATCCAAAGTGTCTGTAAACTTTCATTAAAATTTTTAAAAATAATGTTTTTCTCTATTCTAAACTTTAAATCCATTATAATTATGTGGGGGAAAAACCCCATGTTATTCCAGAAAAATTAATCACTACCTTTCTTTTATTGTCAAGCATTAAAAACATCTTCTGGAGCACCATCTGCTCTTGTTTCTGGTCATTCTTTGCCATACTGTTGGCTTCATGTTCTGAGAATGAGAAAGCAGATAAACATAAATGCAAAATAAGATAAAACAACTAAACCCAAGACTCACATACATGTAGGGACACTCTGATACAAATCATGGAGACCATAAGCCTCATTTTAGTATGCTTAAGTCTACTCAACAAAACAAGAAAACATGACCTGAGTGTTAAAATATAAAAAAGGAAAGGGAGCTCTGGTGGCCTAGTGGCAAGAAGCTGCACTGCAATCCCAGAGATACACAGTTTGAATCCACCAGATCCTCTGCTGGAGAAGGAGGGGCAATCTCCTCCTGTACCTGTCAAATCCAATTTGACAACACACACGCACACAACACACACACTAAATTTTTTTTTTTAAAAAAAGGGATGAGCCCACTGAAATGAACTTCTGGTTTTGAAAGACCCTGTAAACTCAAAATAGCACTTTGCCTGACAATTACGTTACTTTCAGATGATTGTTTAGTTGCATGTGAGTGATAATGATTCAAAACCTCAGGTTGAAAATTTGCATAAAGCTTATCTATAGCTGTGAAAAATGAGCAATTAGGAAGCGGTAGTTTGGAGTTCCAAACCATATTGATACTCTTCATATTAACCATGGTGTCTACAATGATTTCTAAGGTTCCAGCAGTAGCTATATACTCTCTCCAATTCACACTTTTCAGCCATTGTCAGTTGTTGCTCTTATTAAAAATCAGCAACAAAAATGACAAAGTGAAACGGCTTTAAAACCTGAGAAAATGCTGAAATGTAGAGTCCACAAATGGAGTGAGATCCACAGATGGAGTGAGACTGTTTGACTGGGAGTAGGTTGTGGGATAAGGGAACCCACACATCTATCAGGTGATGCCCATCCGTGGCCTCTGCACAGTAAATAAGATGGCTGAACACTTAGTCGGGGGTTCTCCACCTAGGGAGGGTTTACCCCATGGGGACACTGAGCAATGATGGGGGACACCTGTGATTGCCACACTTTGGGGTGCCACACTGGTATCTGGAAGAGGTCAAGAATGCTGCTTCTCCCCTACCCCGACCCACCCTCTAACAGAGAAGGATGTAGCCCAGTACGTCAACAATGCCGAGGTGGAGAAGCGTGCCCTGGATTATCAAGAGGCTGAGACTATCAATACAGTCATAAAGTACTTCAAGACTATAGAGGATTTGCATTTGTTATTGACTGTAGATAGAAGGGGGGGAAAACGGCCAAAGGGCACTGCTTCAATTTTAACTCTTACCTCTATTCTGCCAGGTTTTGCATTTAAAGTCATATTCATCCTGTAAATCTTCAAGGATCTTGATTTCTTGCTCTATACACTACACATAAAAGATATAAGCATGTTTCTTTTTAGAATATATATATTTATATATTTGACAATAAACAAACTATGAACCTTTATTTTGTGGCCAGAACATAAATGTGAAATCATTATAAAGTTTCATTGTGATTGAACAAATTATGATCAAACAGGAAAACTATTACCACAAAAACAGAGTAAGCCTTGAAAGTCACAAGCACTAGGTGCTGCCTAATATTCAAGATCTGATAGGAGAGAGATTGCCATGGTTAGCTCTGCCCGTTTAACCGGTTTAAACCTGTTTCTTGCTGATCAATTTCCAAACACACTGGAGACAAACTTCTATTTTATATCAAAACCAAACCCGTTGAGTGGATTCAGCTTTATTGTTGTTATGTGCCATCGAGTCATTTGCAACTCATAGCAACCCTATGTACAAGAGCCCTAAACGCCGTTCTATCCTGTGCCAACTTCGCTGTCTCAAACACATTCATTCCCACCACTCCACTCACAGAATCGATCCATCTCATTGAGGGTCTTCCTCTCCTGTGCCGTCCCTCCACTCTCCCAAACATGGTGTCCCTCTCCAAGGACCAGTCTCTCCTTGCAACATGCCTAAAGTATGTCAGACGAAGCTTCAAAATCCTTGACTCCAGGGAACATTCTGGCTTCACCCTCTCCAGGACAAACCTGTTTGTTGTCCTAGCAGTCCATGGTATATTCAACACTCTTCTCCAGCACCAGAGCTCAAAGGCATCAATTCTTTCTGTCATCCCTATTCAGCTTTACAGAAGCATATTGCTGTATCTTTCTACTTTGAAGCAGTTTGCAGGTTTAAAGTGTCGGCTTTTCAGTGCACTTAATCTCTGAGCACTTAATAACTGCCCCATCAGGACTTCCTATGCTGCTATTATAAAAAAATCTAGACCAAACCCACTGCTATTTAATCAAGTTGACTCACGGTGAGCCTCCATCAGCTGTCAGAAGCTGCAAATGATTATGGGAGGAGAATGCCCATCTTCCTCCTAAGGAATAACTGGTAGATTCGAACTGCCAACCTTTTGGTTAGCAGTCGACAAATTAGGCACTACCCCACCTGGGCTTTGATGCGTTCTTATAACTCAGAAAATCTTGGAAACAATTTATAACTCCACTAGTGACTTGCAAAATTGTAATCACATATATTAAATGCTTTCTATTAAGTATACAACTAAATAAAGAAAATACATGGAAATTTCCCAAACAGGTTCTCACATCATCACAAGGTCTAAATTACTTTTTTTAACAAGGCCTAAATTTTTATTGTTCCTGACTTTTCTTGAGAACCTTTAGATATGATTTACTAACTTCAACTTGAAGCACAGAGTAGGAAAAAACAAGATCACGGAAAATCTCTTCATTCTTCACAAATCAGGAGGGTGGCCAGCTGGTCCTGTTTAACCAGGAAAATCCCTGGTTTAATTATTAACAGTGCCCTCCTCCTGGCTCAAAAGGATCTCAATCTGGACCAAAAAAAAAAAATTGTATGTTCACTCTACAAATAAGCTGCAGACGCTTGGGATATTTGCTCCCATGTATACATCATATTCCCTGGGATTCCACGATTGGGCCGTTTGGTTTGTAGTGCAATGAAGTTTCTCCTAGGAGACTGTAGTGCAGGGTTCCTCTAGAGAACTTCAAGTTTGGGGGATGCTTTCTGGAGCACAAAGGAAAAGGCATGGTGGTGAGGCCCAGAGACCCCAGCAGGACTGAAGTGCTCAGCTGGAGGGCTGTTCCCACAGACCAGGGTCCATGTGAAGCAGAGCTTGGCAGCTTTCCCACCAAATATCCAACCTAGGAACAGATGGCACACACACATGGGCCAAAGGCATCTGTAATTTCCATATATTTTCCTGTAGGTTTTACCTTATAGTTGTTGGAAAGGTTTCATTAAAATCAGCAATCTATCAATGTCTTTGAATGGAATGCATTTGTTTCCCTTCCAAGACTTAAAAGAGTAAAAGAAATGCTTGAGGAAGTAAATCTGGCTTATTCAAGGACTCTGTGTAACACCAGGAATACCCTGATGACAGAGATGGGATGTTCACCAGCCAACAGAGGAAATGTGATACTTACTGTGTGATACTGTGAAAATGAGAAGGAGAAAGCTAGTGTTGGAAGTTATAAAAAAGTCTCAAAATTGATTTTATAATGTGTTTCAATTTCATAATGGTCAGAATCTCTATCAACTCTTCTCAGTAAAGACTAAGATCTGTTATAAGGCTTACACTCAGAATAGTATGTCTTTCTCTGCTCCCTGCTGATCAGAGGTTACAATGTAAACATATATTTATATACTCTTACTTACCATGACTTTGTCCTTCACGTTTCTGACTTTGCTGTCAAGCTCCTTCTGTTTGTCTAACATGACTGTGTTCTGCACATTCCCCGACTGAGCCTGCAGTGGGAAGGAGTGTGTGGTTAACAAGCAGACATTTTCACTGGCATCTTTACTCTCACTGGTTACACTCCAATGTCAAGTCTGCAGCCAGTGCCCCACCCACCTCCCAGACCTTCCAGGCTCACTCCAGGTCTCCCACATGTGTATCAACAAGAGAGCTCAGTTCTCCAGGTCCTGGAAAATGCTGGCAAACTGTTAATAAGGCTATGGCAAGACTAGTCTCAGTTCAGACCTCAAGTAAATAAAAAGCATTTCTAGAAGTTTCTGTTCATTTGCACAGTGGCATAGTACCACCACATGGGAATTTATTTCAGGTTTCTCAAATTGCATACAGAAGGTCATTCTTCATTTATTAAGCCTGTACACAGTGATTCAAAGTATGCTTCCAGGCAGGAGCTTCTTTTTATCTGAGAACTTACAAGAAATGCAGACCCACAGATCCTAACTTGACTACTGAATGACAGCTCCCATTTTAACAAGATTCCAGGTGATTCCTATCAGAACAAAGAAGCACCTCCATACAGTACGTCAGGGAATACTGCCATAAAGTCTGCAAAGACTCGCCTGGGAGTGTTCAGTTCTCATTGCTGATATCAAATGAGTCCACTCAGACCATGCCCGTTTACTGCAGCGGCGTGCCCGGATTTAGTCAGTCAACTCACCTTACCATGTTGTCAGTGTCTGCCGCCACAGCCCCCACCACAGGGCAACCCCACGTTGTGACCCAGAGGAGATATGCTTATGAGGATCTCCATAAAGGAGGGAATTTTCTAGGCCTTGGAAATAGTGACTAAAACAGAGCCCATCTATATTTCGTCTCTTCACCTGACCCTCGAAACTGGGCTATGTGGAAGCAAATACCAGACCTCACATCATCCCGTCTATTAATAGTTTAGATCATTACTGATGAATCAGTTCTAACTTATGGTTGATCCTCCTTTGAGCTTCTGATGGAGATGTCCCATTTTTCTCTCTAGGCACAACTGGTGGATCTGAATCACTGGGAAGGCTCAACCTTTTTGTTAGTAGGACAAATCTCTACGAAGTCACTGTGTAGAGAAGATGACTTATTAAAATATAGTTGCTTCAGCGGTGGAAGAAAATGGCAAATCTATGTTTCTGCTCTTCCCAGGGCCATGGAGTGTGCCTTCTCCCTTTTTCTGACATCTACCTAGAACCTTCCTTTCTCCTCCAGTAAATCCCTGCTGTGCTTCCTCCCAGCTGGGAACCACCGCAACTTAAGTCCTCTCTTTCTGACTCCTCTCTGCCATGGCCCAGCTCACTGCTGGTTACCTGATAGTGAGAAGCACATGAGATGAGCTCCACTGTGTACTCTGGCATTCTTCCCCTTGTAGCGGAATGACTCAGCCACAGTCCACACCACAAGGATTTCATAATTGTCAGCTGGGTTGTTCTCACCAACTTCCTACCCCAGTCAATAAATGACTCAGTGCCAGGGCAACTTCAGAAGACGGCTGAACCTTTACCTCCAGGAAAGTTTGTAGTAGTATCTGTTAAACTGTAATTTAAAATCTTATAACTGGTTCAATTCTAACCCATTCTGTTGAGATGTCCTAGCTATTTAACAGGTATCCCCATCATGTCCAGCCAGTCATGTCTCTCAAAATCTGTCAAGCCTATAAAAGTCCTACTTCTCTTCTCGTCTTCCTCAGTAAATAGCATTACCCTTCGCCCAGCAGCTCATCAGAAATCTTAGCCCTCCTCGATTCTTCATTTTCCCCATCCCCGCATCCTTCATCATAAGATCTGTTGGCACCATGGCCAAAATAGAAACAATCTGTCCCCTCCTTCCACTTCCTCTGATTCTGAGTACAAACTTCTACCTCCCCTTCCTGAGGTACTGGAATTCTGTCTGCCCGTTTCCATTCCTGCCTGAGTACGTAGATAAACTTTTCCTAACCACGATCTCAAGAAAACAGTCCCACCTCCCAGCACTATCTATTACAATAAAGCCAAACCAAAGCCAGTGAGTCAGGCTGATTTGTAGTTGTTAGGTGTTGTCGAGTCTTAATACAATCAAGGAACAACAACTCATGTTCATAGCAGGCCTGTGGACAGCAGATCAGAGGCCTGTCCTGTCCTGTGCCATCCTCACCATTTCTGACACCCTCAAGCCCGTTGCAGCAGAAATTGTGCCAATCCATCTGTTGATGGTCTTCCTCTCTTTCCTGACCCTCTACCTTCCCAAGCATGATGTCCATCTCCAAGGAATAGCCTCTTCCACCAACATTCTCTAACAACATACTTAATTTTTAGGTATGTGAGACAAAACTTTACCATCTTGGCCTCCAAGGAGCACTCTGGCTATACCTTCTCCAAGGCACATCTGTTGTTCTTTTGATAACCCATAGGATATTCTTCTCACCACTACAACTCCAAAGTATGACTTTGTCTTCTGTAATCCTTACTCATTTTACAACTCTCAGATGCATAGGAAGTGGCTGAAAGATCATGGCCTGAATCAGGCCCACCCTAGTCTTCAAAATGACATCACTACTCAAGTTTGATTTAAATCCCATTTGTTATAGAGAACTATTCCATAGAGTTTTCAGGCTTGAATTCTTATAGAAACAGATCACTGGGCCTTCGCAGGCGACTCGACGGCACACAACAACAACAACATGGTTAGGTGGGGTCCTACCACCACGTTTTAGGTTAGTAGATAAGCATGAACAGTTTGTGGTCCCCAAAGACCTTGTCTGTCTGATTACCCTGTATTAGCATTGTTGTTGTTAGTTGCTGTCGAGTCAAGTATGACCCATAGTGACCCTGTGACCAACAGATCTGAACCCTATCCTATCCTGTGCCGTCGTCACAACTTCTGACACACTTGAGTTCTCTGACGCAGTCACTGTGCCAGTCCATCTAGTTAAAAGTCTTGTTCTCTTTCACTGACCTTTTACCTTTCCAGGCATGATGCTCTTCTCCAAGGAAGAGCCTCCCCCATGCCCAAAGTAAGAGGCGAAGCTTTATCATTTTGGTCATCAAGGAGTACCGTGGCTGCACCTTCCAAGACATATTTGTTCTTTCAGCATCTAGGGGATATTCAGTGTTCTTCACCACCACCACAGCTATAAGGCATCAATTGTTCTTCTGTCATCCTTTTTATTGTCACACTATCAGATGCATAGTAAGTGACTGAAAAGACCATGGCCTGGATTAGGCACACCTTAATCCTTATATTGATATCACTGTTCAATAATTTGGAGAGGTCCGTGACTGCAGATTTCCCAGTAAAATACGTTTCCTAATTTTCCTAACTGCTGGTAACAAGTTTGTTGATTATGGATCCAAGAAGATGAAATCATTGACAACTTCAGTCTTTTCTCCATCTAGTATTATGTTGCTTATAGGTCCAGTTGATTGTGCTAATGCGAAACCTATACTTGGATCAAGGGGCAGTCATCAGAACAGAGCAAGGAGACACTACATGGTTCAAAATCAAGAAGAGGGTCCATCAGGGATGTATTTTGTCTCCATACCTTTTCAGTTTGTATGCAGAACAGATCATCTGAGACGCTGGACTTTATGAGGAGGAATGTGGCATCAGGATTGGTGGAAAAGTCATCAACTACCTGCGTTATGAAGATGACACAACCCTGCTTGCTGAAACTGAGGAGGACCTGAAGCGCTTGCTGCAGAAGGTCAAGGACTGCAGCCTTCAATATAGATTGAAGCTCAACATCAAGAAAACAAAGATTCTCACCACTGGACCAATTGGCAGCATTAGTATGGATGGTGAAGAGATTGAGATAGTTTAATAGTTTTAGTTTACTTGGTTCCACAGTCAACACTCTTGGTAACAGCAGCCAGGAAATCAAGAGATGAATTGCACTGGGAAAGTCGGCTGTGAGAAATCTCTCAAGAGTACTGAAGAGCAATGACATCAGGCTGGAGACGAAGGGTGCACCTGATCTGGGCTATAGTCTTCGCAATTACGTGCTATGCATCAGAGAGTTGGACAGTGAGTAGGGATGATAGAAAGAGAATTGATGCCTTTGAGCTCTGGTGCTGGAGAAGAGTGTTGAATATACCATGGACTTCTAGGAGAACAAACAGGTTTGTCCTGGAAAGGGTGAAGCCAGAATGCTCTTTGGAGTCAAGGATTCTGAAGCTTCGTCTGACATACTTTGGGCATGTTGCAAAGAGGGACTGGTCCTTGGAGAGGGACATCATGTTTGGGAGAGTGGAGGGATGGCGCAGGAGAGGAAGACCCTCGATGAAATGGATTGATTCTGTGAGTGGAGTGGTGGGAATGATTGTGTTTGAGACTGTGAGGTTGGCACAGCAAAGAACAGTGTTTAAGGCTCTTATACATAGGGTTGCTATGAGTCACAAGTGACTCGATGGCACATAACAACAACAACAACAACAGAGGTCCAGTTGTAAGAATTTTTTTTCCTTGATATTGAGATGTAATCCATACTGAAGGCTGTATTCTTTGATCTTCTGCAACAAGTGCTTCAAGTCGTCCTCACTTTAAGCAAAGAAGGCTGTGTCATCTGCATAATACAGGTCCTGATCCATCTGTCTCAGATCCTGATGTCACATTCTTCTTCACAGAATCCAGCTTCTCAAATAATTTTCTCAGCATACAGACAGAATAGGTATTGACAGAGAATGTAACAACCCTGACACACGCTTTTTAAAATTTGAAACAATGTAGTGTTCCTTTGCTCTGTTAGCACACCAGTCTCGTGATCTAGGTCTCGCATAAACACAATTAATTGTTTTGGGATTCCCTTTCTTTTCAAGATTAGCTATAACTTGTTATGATCCACACAGTCTAATGCCTTTGCATAGTTAATAAAGCATAAATAGACATTCTTCTGGTATTCTTTACTTTCAGCCAAGATCCATCTAACATCAACAATGATATCCCTGGTGCCACAGCCTCTTCTAAATCCTGCTTGAATTTCTGGCAGTTCCCTATCCGTGTACTCTTCTAGTCACTTCAGATTATCATCAGTATTTTGCTTGCATGTGATAGTAATGATACTGTTTCATAATTTCCACATTCTGTTGCATAACTTGTCTTGGAAATGGGAGTAAATATGGAACTCTGCCAGTCAGTTGGCCAGACAGCTTTCCTCCAGGGCTGCGTCTTAGTTGAAATGTCCCAATGACTATCCCATTCCTAGGCCCTTATTTTTGCTAATGCCTTCAGTGCAGTGTCAACTACTTCCTTCATTACCAATGGCTCTTGTTCATATGGTACTTCCTAAAAGTTTTCAGTGTTAGTCAAGTCTTTATGGTATAACTCTGTGTTGTCCCTCCATCTTCTTTTGATGCTTCTTGAATCATTCAGCATACTGTCTTATGTTGCTGTGTACCACGTCAGAACCAACCCATAACTGACCGACCCTCCTGTGTGTTTTCAGAAGCTGTTAATCAAATGGGAGGAGACTGCCCATCCTTCTTCCACAGAGCAGCTGGTGGCCTCAAACCTTGTGCTTTCAGGATTGTAGTGCAGCTTCTTGACACTAGGCCACCAGGCCACCAGAACTCCCTATATTTTCTATAGCATCTGTCAATATTTCTCAAATCTTACATAAGTTTTTCAGATGCCAAGCTTAGCATTACTTACTAGTAATTTGATAAAGGATAGTGTTTTATTATTGTCGCCTTCCTCACTAGAATGTAATTCCATGAAATCAGGGTCCTTTGATGCAACCTAGTTTATGAAATCTCTATGTCAGATTTTCACCCACTCACTCAGGCTGTAAGATCAGGGAGACATTCACTGTCTTGAAAAGGTCTTTGGAAATCTTTGTTAATGAATGAATGAATGAATGAATGATGTTTTATGTAAATGTAAGTTTTGATGCTCAAACATAAGAAAATACCTGATTAAATCTCTGAGCATTTTCTAGGATCTTCCTTTCCTCCTTGAGACAGTTACAGATGATCATAGACATCAGTATTGGGTCTTCTTGAAAATTATCCTAAATATGGGTTGTTAGAAAAAAAGAAATTAAAATTCAGAAACCATTGGAAATTATGAATTGACATGAATTTAATGTTTAATTAAAAACCCTCAAATAATGTTTACTATATATTTTTAATGAAAAATATTCATTTTGCAAATTATGAAAAAAATTGCTTAAATTTTCCAATTACATGCAGTTATCTAAATATTTCTTGACAAATTAACTATATTCATATATGATACATATAGTATTTTATATATTTTCTATTATTTATAGTTTAATATATGATATATACACATGCTTGTGGTACCAATAATGTGTGTACATTAATAATATGCTAACTGTTGGTATTAATATTTGTATCTTAATATCACCCATTTGTCTTAAGGCTAATGATTATTACAGTCCTGGGGCAATGAAAACAATACAGAATTACCTATATATAGTTTTTCTCAATTTATTTGTGAGTCTTCACTCTGAATTGGACCAAACTATTCCGTTGGGTTTTTCTGTTTTGCAAAATTTCCTGTTTTGGCAACCATGGCTCTTACGGAAACATTAAACAACATCTATCAAAAAAATTCAAGATCATTGCCAATCAAGTCAGAACTGACTCATAGCTGTGCTCCACGAGAGGCTGTAAATTGCACAAGAAAAGATTGCTCATCTTTCTCCCAAGGAAGAGCTGATGAATTTGAACCATCTGTCTTTGGAGTGGCAGCAAAATTCCCTACCAACTAGACCGTGTATATTTAAGCAAAATTTCTGTCAATTTATATTTCTGTAAAGTTAACCTGATTTCTCCGCTCACAAGGAATATAAAATCATAAATGTAGCCTCAAAGGAAAAACAAAACAAAACACCAGCTTGCAATTACAAGTTGAAAAGGTCTGAGTGTACTGTGTTAACAAGGAAATGGCAAGCTCTCATGTCCATTAAAGCAGAAACATTCCATTAATACAGAAATAAGAATTGAGGTCTTTCTTTAGGGCTGTGGAGCAAATGGGCTCCTTTGTGGTGGATTTGGGACCCGACTCACCTGTTGCAGCAAGGGTAGGTTGGGATAAGCCTGGGTTCCTAGAGTTCATTAGCAAAACATGTGCAGAGATGCAATGGCCTTAGTTCTAAGCACAGGTAGGAAGCTGGGTGATCTGCTATGCCTTGTTGACCTCCCCATGGATGTCTGAATCTGCAGTATTAGGGTTTGTATGAGAGTTATAGCACGCTGTATTGGTACAGCTGTAGGCAAGTATGTAGTCTTTATTGTACTGGGCACTTACCCTGTGTCTGTGGTAGGCTTCCATTCAAGAAAAGTGAAACTCAAATCAGATAATGAAATCATAGGAAACTGATACTTTATTCATCCAGCAAATACTAAGTTACTATTTTTCTATACTGATTTATTTTCTATGTTAGAATACATTGTTTTTCACCCAAGATCCTTCCCACTTCCTTCACTAACTTACTTTTTTAATGGAAGTTTTTAGTATACCCTTACAGGTTGAATTTTTATTTAGTGTAATCTTGATAAGCTTAAAAGAAAGTAAGACATGGAAACTATTTTAGTGGTAAAGGGCATGATACAGGGAAGTCTGTTGTTTCCTGCCTGTTTCAAAGGCTTCATAGGATAGGCAACATTTAGTGCTAGTGTCATATGTGAACTGATGTAAAGAAGTAAATGTAGGATTATATGGTGATATAACCTATCGAGAAGGATTATATGGTGACCTAACTTTTTGAGAAGGAAATTGTTGTAAATTCTTGACCCAATCTTTTCCCTCCCTTCTATAAAATGAAGAAAATGAATAATG